GCTATGTCTCCCTGCCTCAGAGACAATACATTTATTAACCGATGGTATTTACCTCCACGGACTAACTCAAACCTTTTTTTCTCTTCCCAGAGTTCTACGAGGAGATCTTGTCGTTGGCTCACAGCCTGACCTGCCAGCAGGTGTCCCCACAGATGTGGCAGCTCCTTCCGCTAGTGTATGAAGTCTTCCAGCAAGATGGATTTGATTACTTCACAGGTACGTGGTTGGCTGGGAACAGGATTTTGAATTGTAAAATGGTAAGACCATAAGTATCATGTCCATATTCTGAAACGTTGATTTTCCTTCGTATTGTTTTGCTGTGAACTTGACTGTGGGGGAAAAATGTATGTTTCCGTTTCAGATATGATGCCGCTTCTTCACAACTATGTCACAGTCGACACAGATACTCTCCTATCTGACACCAAATACCTGGAGATCATCTATAGCATGTGCAAGAAGGTACAATGATGGAATTATGCAACATACTTTAATGTCAAGCTTATTGGCAAGTTAACCGGAGTCTGTCACTATGCTCAGGTGCTAACAGGTGATCCTGGTGAGGACCCAGAGTGCCATGCTGCAAAACTACTGGAGGTGATCATTCTGCAGTGCAAAGGTCGAGGCATTGACCAGGTCCGTATCTAGAACATTTTCACTTCAGGCTAGTTGGCTTAAAAAAGATCAATAAGGATGTAGTGTTTTCTGGAATGCATTCCTATTATAATATTCTCTAATAGAGCAAAACTGTCTGTTGCAGGTTGTGCCGTTGTTTGTGACTGCCGCTTTGGAGCGTTTGACACGGGAGGTGAAGACCAGTGAGCTGAGGACTATGTGCCTGCAGGTGGCCATCGCCGCGCTCTACTATAGCCCCCCACTCCTCCTCAACACTCTGGAAAACCTACGCTTTCCAAACAACACGGAGCCCATCACCAACCACTTCATAACCCAGTGGCTCAAAGATGTCGACTGCTTCCTCGGGTAGGTTTTTGCGAGTACGAATAAGCGCACCAATACACCCAGTCCAGACCAAACGGTCAACAGTAAACTGGTAATAAATGACTATAATTGTCACAATGTATCATTCAGTTTTATTTTGTGTGAACAACGGCCCCAGCTATTAAGGGTTTTCCATGGTAGCAAATGATCACGGGCTCGTTAGTGCAATTGGCTGGTAATGGAGGTTCCTGTTCCTGTTTGCTCTCCTCAGCCTTCATGACAGGAAGATGTGCATTCTTGGAATTTGTGCTCTCATTGACCTGGAGCACCGACCTCAGGCGGTCAACCAGGTGGCCATCCAGCTTCTTCCAGCAGCCATCCTTCTGTTCAATGGCCTAAAGAGGGCATATGCCTGTCGAGCAGAGCATGAGAATGACGAGGACGATGACGATGAAGATGGGGAAGATGATGACGACAACGGTAAGGTGCTGCTGTTGCTGTATTCGGTGTGGTTTATTTCACTATTACTCTGCAGGGTGAAGTGGTTTTTGAGCTGTTCTCTTAACCCTGAATGAATGTAGCGGAGCTGGGCAGTGACGAGGATGACATTGATGAAGAAGGCCAGGAGTACCTGGAGATGCTGGCAAAGCAGGCGGGAGAGGACGGCGATGATGAAGACTGGGAGGAGGATGATGCTGAGGAAACGGCACTCGAGGGCTACACTACAGCTGTAGATGATGAAGACAACCTTGTGGACGAGTATCAGATCTTCAAAGCCATACTACAGAGTAAGATGTCAACCTGCTGATGTGGAGCCTTGTGTTAAGCCTTCTCTTGTGTCTCAATAAAACAAGAATCAATCACTAATCGCTTTTACTTTACTGTGATGCAGATATCCAGAGCCGCGACCCAGCATGGTACCAGGCACTAACACAGACCCTTGACGAGGATCAGGGCAAACACCTTCAGGACATTGGCACACTTGCAGACCAGAGACGGGCAGCACATGGTGAGCGCCTGCTGAGACTGCAATCCCAATTTCCAATTAAACTCTGATGCGGCACTTCAGTCTGACAATAAAGCAAATTATTTTTTACATGCTATTTCCTGCTTTTTTCTTTTTGGAATTCTGTTTTTCCTGATTTTTTTTTTTTTGTATTCCAAATGTTCTTTATAAATGCGATTTAAATCTAATCTATTTACCGGGACTAAAATAACTATTCATAGCCTTAATCCAATTATTACACCGTACAGTCCAGCATGTTGCAATCAGCCACCTTTGTGCCTTTTTTATGGGCACAAATGTATGAATTTGGGATGATTTAAAAAAAAAAAGAATCTTAAAAGAAAATGTTTGTTGGAATTAAGTTGAGTTGTAAAATGCCAATACACTGTGGATCGTCCTGCCTGCATGGCTTTTTGTCGACGCTTGTGGCCTAGTGTTTAGAGGCTGTTGATGAACCGCAGTGTTTAAGTCTGTTGTTCCCAATTTCTCTTCCCTCCCCCTCCGTTCATAACTGTTATCTGTCTGTTGACTAATAATAAAGTCATAAAATGCCCTAAAACGTGTTGGATCACAGTGTGTGGCACCTAGTCTCTTCTCTGAATTGTTCCTTTTTGTCCCGTGGACACGGGAAGCAGTCTTTAATGTGACAACACGTTGTCCCGTCTCGGACTGTCTGGCGAGACTTCCCGAGAGGAAACTACTTTCTCTTCACCTTTGTGATTTTTAAGCACTGTTGCTTGTTATCTTATTGCAGAGTCCAAGATGATCGAGAAACACGGCGGGTACAAGTTCACAGCGCCAGTGGTGCCATCTACTTTCAACTTTGGAGGCACTGCTCCGGGAATGAATTGAGTCATCCGTTCTACTTTTTATTACTCTGACTGATTGTAGTGAAGTGAAAAAAAAAAAAGCTTGTGTTGTTCCCTTAAGTAGTGGTTCCAGAACTGGTTCTTCTCAGTCTGTCAAATAGCACCAGGAGATATGGGAAAGCAACTAAAATGCAACCAATGGCTGGGGAAAACAAACCAAGAACTTGAGCACGATGAAGAGAAGAAGCTCTGAACAACGTTGTCTTCTGGAGCCCAGTGTGGGATTACCATGATGGCAACCTTTTTTTTGTTTTGCCACTTAAAACAAATTTGGGGGATTAACAGTTAGAAATTGATGATGGGACTTAATATTTCATTATCACTGTTGTGGCCAAATGGTCGTAATAAGATTATACCTCTGGTAGTGGTGATATTACATTATTCTCTGCATAAACAAACACGTTTATGTACATACAAGCCAAGGTTATTGATTTTTCAAGTAGCCTTGAAAAATAACCAGAGGCATTTGTAAAGTGTTAACAGTTGTATTCATATGTAGCATATTGGATACTTCATAGCACTATGTGATGCCTGATCTCTGTAAATTAATGACTAGCACTTTCATATTGTTCAGGTCTCCTAGCCTTCTGTATCAGACTGCAAATTTTTTTAAATTGAAGACTATTTAAAATGATAAACAGCTGTAACTTTGCAAGCAACTTGTGTAATGGCCGTTCTTCAAGCATCTGCTTACAGAGTGGATCAGCAAGCAACTCGGAAACTATTGATTTCAGGATAAGAGAATGCTCATGGTGTTCAGTATGGCTACAGGACATGTTTGTGAGCACTGAAAGTTCAATTGAATACATCATTGAAGAATGTACAATTGGACTTATTGTGAGGGTCTCAAGCTTTTGGTTGGTGTATGGATGAACCATCTATATATACAACAAATAAAAAACAAACACGGGAGTCCATGACCTTGAGTACTTCCTTATACAGGTACATGTATGCTCCTTTATATTTCACTGGTTAACAAGCGTTAAGCTTTTTTGCAGATGAGTAGTTGTAAGAAAAGCCTGGTTAGAAGTTTGTATACTCTGGTGAGCGGCTCTGAGGCTAAAATCTGATCAATGAATACCCATGTTAATCTGATTATAACTGCGTTGCCTGGTGAGTCAGACACTGGACATATAATACAACAGCACTGCAGTTTAAAGTGATTATAACCCAGGCTTAATATGCCTTTTCTTTAAGAAAATACACAGACACAACATGTCTCTGTTGGAAAACCGCCCGGGTGAAAATAAGGTAATAACCAGCTAAATGAATGTGTTTTGCATGTTTAATGTCAGTTTTCTGATACTCATGAATCGACTAAATCAAACTGGGATAATGCTTCACTGAAGCAACTGACGGGATCCCTTAAAGCGGATCTTTATCCATTAAACACGGTGCTGTCTGGAGTCAAGCACAGGTTTTCCTTGTGTATTTTAAAGAAATAATTGAAACCAGATCAATTGTTGATTTACTTCGTGCGTTTAATCTGGCTATGTCCACAACCTCTGTGTCAAATAAATGATTTGTGAAAAATGACTTCAAATCACCAATGCGCCGAGGTTCGGGGGTCAAAGCCTCCACGTCTGCGCAACGGTTACCGACGTTTTGCACCGTTGTCATGGAGACGCCTTCTCCTGGGGGCGCTGTGGGGGAAAACACTGGGGTTTTCCTGCTGCGCAGCCGAGGTGAAGGGTCAGCCGGAGTAAAGCCAGGCGCATGCGCACGTCTGCGTCGACGCACCCGTTTCAATTCATGCTTCTAAGGCTTGCGTGTGTCGCAGAGCAATTCACCGCCAGAGCAATAGGTGTAGTAAAGTGTTTTTGTCGAAGACGACCTAGAGAGTCACGTCTTTGTGATTTATTTATCAGAGACTTTATTGCCCCGTGCATCGCCACTGCTGCTTTTCATCGCGGACACATTTGTCCCGTATTTTCCTCCACAACTTTGTTCCCCTCTACCGGCAAACCGACGTTTGTGGAGATCTCCCTTCATGAATCATATTATCATGTTTATGCATTTCTTCCGACAAAAGTTCTTCAATCTGATCCGATTCTCTCGTAAACATTCTTCGTTTTAATAATGGCGGTATTGTGCTATGAAAACGGAAATGTGAGACTCCGTAAAGGATGTAGTTAGCAGACCAATTGCAGCCTGGTGCGCTGCGGGAAGCTTGCAAAATGGGTCGACGCACGCAAGCACGCAAAGAACGTCGTCTGCGTCGCTCTGAAAACGCAGAAGCATAAACTCGCCTTAACGTGCCAGCGGGCTGTCACCCCACCGCTGTCACTCCACCCGCACCTCCAGCCGAGTTGACCTCGAAACGCAAAATTGGTAAAGAAAAATGGCCAAGAAGCGGAAGGAAAGACGAGAAAATGACGGTTTGTCCTCGACTCAAGAGGAGGTGAAGGCGAGCGCCAGTGACTCGCAGGAGCTGAAAGGTGGGTTCCGGTTCTGCTGTGGGGACTTGAACGCTGAACGGGATCTAGAGCTAATGCTAATGTTAGCCGTGAACCGGTTGTTCACACAGGCAGCTAGCGAGGACAGTTAGCCGAGATCCACTCGGAGGGCTAAAACGCTGTAACGTTAGTTAATGACGGTGTCATGTTTGAGTTAACATGGGCACCAAGCCGTGGTAATGAGCAAACAAAATAAATCTATTTCATTAGCTAGGCTAATGTTAGAAATACTCGTTAAGAGACTATCCAACGAGCCGTGGTTTTTGGGGAAGTTTCACCACCGTGTTTGACGTTGCGTTGGGAGAATATTTGCCTTGCCGATGTTAAGTTACTCCGATGCACTGAAAGACACATTATGTCAGTTACTCTCCTTTGAAGTAGCCTGTATGATTGATATAACTTATTGGTATTTTTTTACATTTTTTAAAATAATTGTATTATCTGTTGCATTAATGTGTAAGAATGATTTTACTGTTATAACAATGCGTCACATGTTGCGTAACATGACGTTATTAACTATATGTGTGTCATATCTCAATATCTGATGTAACTATAGGTTAGTTAGATAAATGTAGTGGAGTACAAAGTACAATTTACTCCCTCCCCAAATTTCTTGGATTGCATAAAAATGAAATACTCAATTATAAGTCTTCTTAAAACTGTAGGTGCTATACTGGCAAATCCACATAACCCACATTCCACTACTGCAGATGTTCTACTTGAAGTCCGCTTACCACAGAACATCTCTGTGCGGTTTCCACCTGAGTTTGACTCATCCTGGCCCAACTGCCCAGCCCGGTCTCTTCAGAATCAGAAGCCATTTATTGCCCCACATGTTACACTTAGAGGAATTTGTCTTGAAGATTTGTGCGACATAAGATAAAACGATATAAACGTAAGCGAAGGTTAAACCAACTAACTGAAATTGTTCACACTTCCTTGAGGCGGATGGTAATAAAGAAATCCAATAACAAATATTTTATCAATCGTTCAACTATTCAAAAGTGAAATACTTAGTTGCTGATCAGTTAACACTATTGGGAAATTATGTTAAATCGTCATAATATACCGTAACATATTTGTGTGTTAATAACATGAAATAAAAGTCACTACATCTTTTTACTTTGAATTGATTTCATCAGCTTCACAACTGTTGCTTGTTCTTTTTAAATCCAAAGTATTATCCGAATGACTATGAACATGTTTGCAAACATCTACGTTGATTGCATTAATCCAGCAGTTCCCAAACTGGGGGTTGTGGGCTGACAGGGAGGTCGCTGCTTCATCACTCACCCAAAAAAAAAACCGCGAAACTGACATGAGGACTTGACAGTTTTTGTTGGAACCGTGTCCCCCAGAGCAGCTCACGTTACAAGTGGATCAGCGCAAATGGTGCCATACAGGAAAAATGGTTCGAAAAACTGTTAAATGTGAAAAATATACGTTTCCAGCTTCAAGTTTAATATTTGAAATACATTTTTCTTGATAATATGTTTACAAAATATAAGAACTATTACATGGAAAAGTAAAGTGTATGCAATTATTTTTATAAATAATAGCACATTTTCTTTTCTAGAGTTTATATACTATGATGAAATTTATTCAAACAACAACGAACAACCCTTTTTTGGGGGAGTTGGGGTGGGATTATTAATTAATGTTTGCCTTGGTTTCCCCCAATCATCTTTCACTTGTATATCTAGAGTGCTGCCGTTGGTAAACGCACACATTGAACTATGCACCCTCATTTCCTTGGTACACAGGAAGTGAACGGCCGGTACAGTCCTCGCTCTCCATTAAGTCTTTATTGAGCGCATGACTTAACAGAGCAGCTAATAAGCAGGAAGACTCTGCCACAAGGGAGAAGTCCAGTTCCCTTTGGGGCTCTAACAAGTGATGCAAAACTCAAGCGCTAATTACACATTGCCTGGAAGCTAGTTTGTTGTTTGTGGAGTAGCTTCTCTGATTATTTGGTTATTAAGTTGTGTTTCCCCAACAGAGGCTCAGCATACTGAAGGGGGCTCCGCTCGTATGTCTCTCCTGATTTTGTTTTCCATCTTCACCTGCGCGGCCTCGGTCATGTACCTGGTGTACAGGAACTTCCCAGAGCTTCCTGAGTAAGTTTCCCCCCTCACATTTGACCAAATGTGTTGATCGCCGACAGTGCAAACTGATTCTGTATTCACAAGTAATAAAAATAAAAAAAAACTTTTTGTATTGTTATTTTCATTCTCATGGTTACAGAAATGCATTTTGTTAATCCTCTTCATGTTGTGGGTGTAATACTTTAACTAAAAAGAAACTTAACTGACTGTGACAGCAATAGACGGTAAATAGAATTTCATATATAGTTAACTTAGAAGAAACTCTTGATGCAAACAGTTTTCTATTTGCTTATTGTTTTCAAATAAATTTGAAACTTGTCATTATTGATTTTCATGACCATGTTAAAAGTAGAATTTGACATATTATATTTCTTAACAAAAAACATTACAAGACAAGACAATGTTGGGTAATATGATTGACACGTGTCAGAAAATATAATTAAATAACTGACGGAAGGACCTGATGTTACTCTGCGGACCGGAGGTTTAAGCTTGTAAAAAAGTAAATGATTTAGGTGAATTAGATCAAAAGTTAACAGGTCACCTAACAAAGAGGACAGCTGGTCTCTACGTAATGATGATGTCATGGCAGAAGTTGAGACTGGTCTGAGTCAAGCTAGAGACGCACACAGGCAGGGCGAGGTCACCGCAGTGGTTAGGTGACTTTCACTTTTCTAGTACTTCTCTGCTCAGAAAAGGTGGAACCGAGCTACTAATTTTTACACGATGCTCTAAATCCAGAGGGGACTTTATCAATTTGAGCACATTTTGACACACATTGTATTGTGATGAATAGAGAAATGAATGTTGTATAAAATGTATGACTTCTTTAATTTTCTTTTCAGTGATGAAATGGAGAAAATCAAGATCCCTAAAGACATGGATGATGCCAAGGCTTTGGGAACTGTGCTGTCCAAATACAAGGACACCTACTACTCCCAAGTTTTGGTGGCCTACTTTGCGACATATGTTTTGTATCCTTTGATATCTATCTACCTACCCACTAACGTAGCTTCCTGTCAATGTGTTTTCACAAATGCCTGGCCGAAATTTAGGTGTACGGCTTGTGGTGATGACAACCAACTACGTCCTCGTTATGTTTAACCGGGGCCAGAGACGCACTAAGATAGCTAAGCTCATTTACACACCTACAATCATTTTGGGTTGTTTATTTGGTTATGCTACCATGACAAACACTAGCTATAACCTCTTTCCTTAGTTTGTTTGATGGATGCATTTTACAAAGTAGATCACCTTAACGCTTTTGACAGCCTGCAGACGTTTGCGATCCCAGGATCCATCTTCCTCAGCATCCTCTCTGGATATCTTTACCCTTTCCCATTGGCTCTTTTCTTAGTCTGCTTGGTGAGTATAATGTGTGATTTTAAACAAATGTTGAATTTTGTAAGACCAGCAGCTCTGGCATAGAAACCTGGATGCATGGTGCCTCGTAATAATACATTTTTTTGTCATAATTGACAAAAAATGGCGCGCATTTGAATAGACAAAACTAACAACGACTTAGAATTGATTCTACTTACATTTGAATGAAAAGGTCTCCTTCATATCCACAAACAAATTGTGTTAGGTTGTAGTTAGAAACCACGAACCCTGCTGATTACACCAGAGAACAATCACAGCACGAGAAACAAAGACACTCATTCGACTTGTTGTTTTACTTGCTGCAAGGGGAGCCCGGTCAAGAATCTTAGAGTACGAGACCCTTCACTCGATCACAGCCAACTCCGACTAGACTTCCCCATGCAGTTTCCTTTTATTGAGGTAGTGAACTATGTAAGCATGATGAGTTTGTTAGAAAGGTCAGTGTACAACAGTAGTAGCAAAAGGTATTGTACACCAAACTGGGTATATCGACTCGAGGTTTAAAACCGCTTACACGGGTGAACGTATGTGTGCGTAAGATAACGTATGAGTGTGTACAAATGTGTCTTGGACTTTCCTCCCATATATTGAGTTGCTTTTCAGTTCTGTGGAGAAGATACGGTTGAGTCCACCGTTTCCTGTTTTAACGCAATTAAACCAGGACAATGAAACCGTATATTGCGCAATGATAATAGCACAATAAGAAATAATCCCTAACAAATTGTTTCTGTTATGAAGTGGTCAATTTAATCAAAGAGGCTAAATATTGTAAAGGTACCTCAGGGGCTTCACAATCTGTAGCGCAAACAGCTCCTTCTATCCTTAGACTACCAATTAACGAAGCAAAATGGTATTTAAAAGTAACCAACGTTTTTTCCTCTGCTTGCAGTGCTCTGGCCTCGGTGCTTCCTTCTGCTACATGCTGTCGTATCTGGTGGGCAGACCCATTGTCTACAAATACCTCACAGAAAGGGCACAGAAGTGGTCCCAGCAGGTAGAAGCCGAACAATTTGTAGTTTGGGATAGACTGTATATTTCTCTGAGCATTTTTGTGTTTTCAATCTATTCACCTTGTATGAATGATGTTAATTCTGCTTCGAGGAAACTCTAGAAGCCAAAGTTGTATTTACCAAAAGTATACAGGTATTGTAAAGGGATGTAGCTGAAATAACTATGATGAGAAATGTACGGATATTTCCATTCATTATAAAATACACTGTCGGTCATTCAGGTCGCTAATGAAACATTCTGCTCTCGCCTCTTCGCTGGCAGGTTGAACAACATCGAGATCATTTAATCAACTACATCATCTTCCTGAGGATCACCCCCTTTCTTCCCAACTGGTTCATCAACATCACCTCACCCGTCATCAATGTGCCTCTGGGGGTTTTCTTCATCGGTACCTTTCTTGGTAAGACCGTCTACTTCTTCTAACGGCCCATGCCATGTTCTGGTACCCTGTGTTGTCATTGACTCCTCTGCATTCCCCCCTGCTGATCCACAGGAGTGGCCCCGCCGTCCTTCGTAGCCATCAACGCTGGGACAACGCTGTACAAGCTGACCACGGCGGGCGAGGCAGGGTCATGGAATATCCAGCGGCTTGTGGTCGACAAAGTCGGTGTACTATCGTCCCTCTAGCATGCAACAAAAGTGTCCAGAGGAGAGGGAGAGAGACAGCAGCTACCGGTGGAAATTGTTGTACGGGCGCTCCTAGCGTCCCTCGCGCGCCCCCCCAACCTACCTCCGGCTCAGGAACGTGAAGCTGTCACTTGTGTTGCTGTGCCTCCGTCTCATTCACAGATTTTAATTTGGTCTCAGGCCGCTGGCACAAACAGGCACCCATTGACCACAACATGCAGGCAGTGGGGGGACGGGGGGGGTTCCTGGTGTTAAGTGTACGCTGGCCGCTGCTTGCGTCCGTCTGGGGGTGTCTGTGGATACCGTTGTGATTGTGGCATATCTTTTGAACAAGATACATTAGATTTTTGTTTGTTTTTTATTGAACGCTCTGATTTATTATTTTATGACTCGTTCCAGAAAATTAAAGGTGCTACTTGTAGGATGTTGGCGTAAAACTGATTCTGGTTTCTCTTTTTTTGCTAGAAATCGAACCATGTGATCAGTACTGTTGTTGTTTTTTGACTGAAACTACTTTTGCTATTTCATTTGTTTTGTCGATAGCCTATACATTTTCTGCATCCTCTTTGTAGCATCTTTAACTTCCACTCTCTTTGATATTTATTTCAACATGCTTGTGACAAACCTAAAGTTTACCACCACAGCAATAACGGTCATCGGATGTTCATTTTTAAAAAGTTTTTTTATACCTGATGCTTGCTTTGGCAAACGTACGCAGTGAGCAAAGATGATAATTCTTCTAGTGGTCCTGCGGGGGACTTCATATGTTCTTACTTGCAGGGTTCCTGCATCTGCTGCCACACACATTTTCAGCAATTTATATTAGCAGCCACGTTAACTTTTAGAGAACAGACCAGGCTGGTGTGATATTTTAGTGTCTCAAAGTTTCAGAATGCCAAAATCCCAAAATGTCATTTCAGGTTTGTAATTGAGGTGTGAAGAGAGACTCAACTCCAGGAGCAGATACGTTCCCAGAGATCGCATATTTGAATGATTGGTGCGTTCATCTCCACCCAATAATACTTTTCTCGATGCCAGTATAGAAATGGAGATGTGCATACTATGATGACGCACCAGTGGCCTCAATATGCCTTACCTGTGGCTTCTGACTGCTTTCATTTTTCGCCAGGTGAAATTTATTATCATGCCTAATTTAAGTTTTTGGTCCTTAATTTTTTGGGGGATAATTAATCTTTATTTTCCGTGGCAAATTGATGCTGCTTACACAGGTCCTGGATGGTTACTAGGGACATTGTTGCAGTGAATGTTTATGCAGGTAACTGAACCTTTCATCTCTTAAAACGGCACATTTATAGAAGCCGTTCCTTTTGTGCATTTCATGGTTTCTTGTTTTTACGTCCAAGTCTTATTATTGAGAAGTGTGTGTGTGTGTGTGTGTACGTACTACTGTAAGATCATTAACTCATCAAACACTGCCACATAAACATCAATTTATGTGAAATTTAAACTGTATGAGCATATTAATGTCTTTTTATGGCAGAACGCTGATTCTTTCAGTCTGTTGGCTTGTCATTATTGTTCTTACTGGTTTATTTGAGAGGTGTCTCTCAGATAAACCGTTATTCTCTCCGGCTATACCGTCTTCAAAAGTGCATCTCTGCTAAGGTGTTTAAGAACAAGTCGTAGATGCTATAAATTCGTCCTAAGCCAAGTACTTTTTTGTCGGAATACTTAAATAGGAGCTTGATTGAACTTCATTCAAATTCTCTTTAATTATCAGTTTGAAAAAAAAGATGCTAGATTTGAATGAATTTCTTTCTCTATTCTGCAATATTTAAACCAAATATTATGAACAATTACGATGTATTTTTTGTCATATTACCCAATCAAAGATATAGTAAGATAACTGTGTTACCCTTTGTTAACATTTCAAAAAGCAGTGTTATTTTTTATTAATTTATTGCAATATGAAGTGTTCAAAGATTGCACATCTAAGTCTGTACTATCGAATCAAATATTTATTGAATTATTAAAATGATCTTTACACAATATAATTGTGTTTTGAGAATCAGCTGTAAAGAGTGAATCTTCCATCTGGGAACCATCAAATGGTTTAATAGCCTTTTGTGAAAGCACGACTAGAAAATGGATTCAGAAATGATGAACACATTTTCTGGGATTCCTCCAATCTTTGGAGTTTATCGGCAGTTATGGATTCAGCTTGAAAATAGACTCTTTTGGGTTCTTTTATTTTCTCCAAACAAAGGAGCATAAAACCTACAGCGAACGTCGATGAGACAGAACAAGACATTTGTCTCCATAGCCTAAAAGAAAGTTCACACTGGCACTTCAGTGTGTTTATGAATCCACAAACAAACTGTCCATGTCGGGTCGGACAGAACCAGAGTGAACTTCAGTGCCACCAGGTGGGAAGATTCAAATATAGCTGCTAAACTAGGGTCCCGTTCTTCAACAATCTTAGGAGTTTTACTTTTAATTCGATAGTAATTCCATATAACCTAGTTGAATGGGTTGACTAATAGTGATATAATACATATCTCTGCAATAAAGAACCACCAAATGTTTTCAAATCTAAGTGCTGAAAAAATACCAATAAAAAAAAATCACCTGCACCATTTCTGCCGTGTACATCATGTTAGGTTCACGGTTGTGTCACTGTGCGGTTTAAGGGCAGATGGTTACAGCTGCTGCCGTGTTGATGGACCACAATGCATTTCGACTGCAACGCTCTGATTTATTGTGATGTGTAAAGTCAGCTGGTACAGAGTCGGAAAAGGGAAAATGTTCTTCAAAATAAAACAATTTTCTCAACGATACAAGTTGGACTTAATTATATATAATGTTGTAAGTACATATGAGGCGTGCATTAATAAAATGATGGGAAAGAAGGACGCACTCAACATATCTCTAATGATATGAGAGCAGAATAAGAGGGCCTTGTTTGTTGCCTGCACCTTTAGTAGCTTTTGCTCCATTGTGCATCACGAATCGTCCTGCACTTGACAGTCCTGTCAGGACTCAGCGCAGTTATATACGTCGTGCTCAAACATTGTCGAAGTTGCTATTTATACTCTTACTAATGGAGCAGAATCTGTGTAGTACTCATTATTTTACCTTTCACTTCTACGTGTTATACATGTTTGTCCAGTGTATAGTTCGTCAAGCTACGCAAAGGTAAACCACCATCCATTTGATGACATTACGGGTCTACGGTTGTATTTTTTTGTTCTTTCGTGGAACATGTTTCTTGTCATTTGCGGAATCCACGTTTTATTGTGAAGGACAGCAACCGGATGTCTGATGACCGTTGCAGTTAGCAGCGGGGGTTAGCATGCTATCCGTACTGATTTCCCCAGCTTCGCAGTACCGTAGCACCCGTGATGGCAGAGAGAAAGCCCTCCTCCGAGTTCCTTTAATATGCTCCCGGTTTGGGGGATAAAGGAACCACCGGACCAGTCTCAAAATGACCACCGGCTTCAGCTCCGGTTCCTGCCGATTCGCAGATTATTTCGTGATCTGCGGACTCGACACCGAGAGCGGGCTGGAACCCGACGAACTGTCCGGTAAGCACTTTAGCCATCGGGGTAAATGTCGGGCTGACGCCGTGGCAAACGCGGAAGGACGCAAGGTGCTGTTGTAACATAATGTCAGCGTTAATATTTAGCATTTTCTGGGTCTACAGGGGTTTGTGGTTTATTCTATTCGCGTATATTGGTTATATACTGCTTATATATACATTCAGCACCAAACACAGGGGCCTACGGTTAGCTCTTCTTCTCTTCTTCTTCTGCTCGATGAGAAGCGACGGGATTACGGGCTCGTCGTGTCGCCGACGTGCCTTTTAAATCAAAAAGGTCATCGCCGAACCCGCTTATTCTGATATTGTTTTAAATGTTCCAATCGTGCGCAGCAATGCGTTTTAATGCGAGTCACACTTAACAGCCGTCAGTCGACGATGGTACAACACTTGATGTGGATATAATGTAATAATACTATAACGAGGAGGTCGCGTTAACAGATGCCCTTGTGGAACATGCCCCCCCCCCTCCACACACACACACATCTCAATGCCCCCCATCGGCCCCTAACATCCTCAGCATCCACCAGAGATTCACATTGTGCACGCACCCATCCTCCTCTCTCTCCCCCCCCCCCTTCCCCGTGCCCCCCCCCCTGCACAAACAAACGAACAGGAATCATTGCAACATCTAAGGATTTGCATCAGTAGAACAATTTCCCTGCACGAGTTGGAAGAGAGAAGATTGACACATATTGGCATGTGACGCCGTGGGATCTACAGCACGGCAACACTGCGTTTTCCCCCTCACACTATATTCCTGTTCAGCTGACTTCTTAAATGTCACTGCAGTTTTAGTATCATTTAGATTAGTGGGGATGGGCAATGTACTAATATCACACTGTTAATACTGGTGTCATACTGGTAGTGGTCCCTTTTTAACAAAAATTGGTTCATCACTGAGGGAAATATTATTTTTTTAGAATGATTAATATTAATGTGATACTTTATTTACCTGAACACAAAAACGAAACAGTTTGTTATTTGTTATCTGTCAAGAAGAAGATGTTGAGTTAGATGATTGTATCAATATCACTTTAGATATTACAAATGGTAAAATGTTTAGTCCTGTGTTTTAAGGATTGTTATGCCTCCGTTAACTTAGATTTTATGATGGAAGTCGACAGTGATGTTATGTCATTATCAAGCAGTTGGCCTACGCAGTCGGGAATACTTCCAAACTTCACCGTCCCTTAGTGTTGGAGGCTCTTGGAGACGACACATGGGTTTACCATCTTGTGAGGAACTGAATCCAAGATTCAACCGACCGCGCTGCAGTTATTAAGTTACAAGCTAATTCCAAACAGGAGCAAGGACCCTCTGTGAAGCTGTCCGGGTAACCATGACAACAACTGACAGAAGGAACGTTCCGTATCTGCACATCTCAATCTCAGAAGAGCAGGTCCTAACGAAGGCTCGGCCAACCGATGGGTCTACGCAAAATAATTGTGAACTACTGCTCTTTAATAGATTTATATTTAACTCAAATGTTCAAATCACTAACAACTCTTGTGAATGAAGAACGTCGGATTGTCTCGTACTGGAGTTTCTCGGGTTGTGTAACCGGCACAATGTGCTTCCTTCAAGGGGAAACATTTTGTTGTGTCCCCTCTGAGAGTCGTGACCAATCGAGGTGTCGGTGGAATTTCGATTTGTGTCATTTAGAAGTGTATGTAAATATCAGGCAGCTCCAAAATATTTCTCCCACCCGAAAAAAAAGCCCCCTGGTAACTCGTATCCTCAGAGAGGACGCTAAATGTTGAAGGGAAAAATGTCTCTGCAAAGACATTTCATAGTCTCAACTCAAATGAGAGTAACAAAGGACTTTCTCTTATTGACGGTTCAGATTCATTATTACTGTGGGGTTTTTGTTTTTACTAATGTTGGAGAAAACATTTTTGTGCAACTTCTGTCCCAAACACGATGATTAATAGAGAAGAGTCTGTTTCATCCTGTTTCGGTGTGATTTACTGTGACTCAGCAGGTGGTGAGAGACTTGTTGCTGTGGTTAGATGAAAGTTCTTTCCATTTTTTATATCTTCTTGATCGGCTTCCCCCGCTCGCCTTCCGAATGCCCCCGATAGCGTTGAACAAAGGTTTTTTTTCTGTGATCCTAACCTGTGACAACTGTACTTTAAAGTCTCTCTGACTTGGCAGAAACGTACGCGGTTTACACCTTGCTCCGAAACCGAGCCGCTGCGGTCTGTGATCGCCGACGCTGTTCTTCGTACTGCCGCTGTTTGCTGTAGAAAGAGGTTAGAGGTTTGCCCCCATCGACTTTCAGTTTAGGTTGTAGAGAGAGGAAGTGGTGTGGAAATTCCATTGTCACAGGATACGTATGATCTGCTTCTTCTAAATATCCGCTCTACTCAGAACTGCTTTCGCAAATCTAACAACTCATATTTGTTCCTGTTGTCGGCTCAATCAAGCAATTGCATATCTTAATCTACATTAGTGAGGGAGAAGGGGATGGAATATTTGACACAAATACGTGTCAGAATTGTGTGTTGGTAGATTAGTAGATAATTGTATCTACGACACATATATAAAAACTTTCCCCTTCTAATCAATCTCCTGATCTTTTCTTACGCGCTTATTGATTGTCGTAATAACTGAACAGGTGACTGGACATTACTCAACAGTTATTGACCTGCCGTTATGATTGTAGCATCTGTAATGGTTTAAAGTGACCTCGCTTTAAACACCGCTGAGACACAAACGAGTTGCGCGGAATCAAACCCCGCTCTGTTTGTCATGTTTAGCGTGATGCCGGGGTTATTCATGCACAGTGAGAACACACGGGAGTGACCGGGCCCTTCTTTAATCCCAGCGCTTGGTAGCACGGCGAGGGCCTGATTAGCATATGCATGATGCTGCAGCCTCACGGGCGACACACTGGGAAACACGGGGAGCTGGCCGGGGGACACAAGTACACTCGCACACAGGCTCCACTTATTCAGATGCTAAATATCCTTTTGGATTTCCCAGGCGGCCTCTCTCCCCCGGTGCTGCTCGGCAAACAAATGAGGATGAACGGCTCAACACGAAAGCTGCCTTTAGACGCATAATCCGGGCTTTCATATTTTCACCCGTTTGTAAAAAAGTATCATGGACATTTGGAAAGATTCATTACACGTCTCACAGTGACTTAAGGGAGCAGTGCTACTTGATCTTTACAAACTATGAAGCTCAACGGGAATCGGCTGTAACTAATCATGTGATGACAATGAAAGTGAAGGCGAAGGATTAAAGTGTCAAATCTGCAGCTTAAATCACTTTACTTTTAGTTTCAGGCTGGACCGGCTTCTTCTCAACTACAATGGCGCTAAGGCTTATGGGTGTTATCGTTTTGAAACCAGTCCGCCATTCCACAACGACGGAGACGACAGCGATCTGAGGAACAATGAGCGATGCAATGTAACATTAAATTGGGTTAAATGGACGAACGGGAAGCTGCGAGTGCCGTTGAACTCGCACTCCGTCCTTCCTTTTGTCAGCTTGGTGTTTAGTGGAAGCTTCTCCTGCAATCAAGTTATTTCTTAGATTGTTTCTATAACCCAATGGAGAAGCTGGTGTTTATGGCAGCTGGTCCCCACTCATTGAAACGAGGACACTTTTCAGTGATGTGCCAGCTCAGAACCCCCCGAATGCCGGCGCATTCCCCGGATTCTGCTGCTGGCGCGAGAAGTCGAGTGGAGCCGTGTGGCCGTGCGTGAGGGTGCGAGACCACGGGTGGGGTTGCGGCGCTGCGGGTGGTCGCCGCCCTACGGGAGGAGGGGGCGGGCGGCGAGGAGCCAGGACTCCGCGGCGCTCCACACTCCCACGGCTACCGGTTCCACGCTGTCACGCCATCACGGCCCGTTTGGCTGGAACAACGGCAGATGGAGAAGCACGTTTTGTCCGTGGCAGTGGATGTTTTGTTGGAGCTCCTTTTAGACGGCGGGCGTGGGGCAGGGAGGGGCAGGGAGGGGCAGGGAGGGGCGGGGGGGGGGAGAGGGGGCGGCTGCCTGGTCATCAGCGCTAATGGCCGGTGAGAGACCACCTGTACAGTCTTAGCGTAAATAGCAGTGAGGGACGATGAAGGATCCCTCGACCATAGTTAAACCTAAAGGAGGAATATTGATGAAACCACGTCTTGCCTTTCTGATTTCTTATTGTGTTTTCTATTATTACACTTTTTCATTCATCACGTAATCAGGGCCTGGTTGGGTTGCTACGGTGGACCTTTGTAGAATTTTGTTTCCATCCCTCAGTGTCTCTAAGAGAAAGTACCCCCAAATAGTTCAATAGTTAGTTAATTTAAGTTATATTCTAATCTTTTTGTATGAATTTAGGCTATACTCTAGGTTAAAATACACCTTGGAATTACATAAAAGTGACATCACCACAGGTAGGATACATGACAATGTGATTACCTACAAAGAACTGGTTGGTCCAGTAAAACAACCTATGAACTTACTTCACTGCAACTCCTGAGTTGGTCCAGAGAGAGTTGAGGAACAGTCTCCGTCTGTTTTCACTTTCCCTCGTGGAATCTGAGCTACGTGAACGTGGTGACCAACAACGGGAGCTCGTCTTTGCACTCAACAGTCTTTACCTTCTTTGAAGAAGATAAAACATGTTACATGCCTTAAATATGGTTATCATACATTCATTCTGGCGCCTTCACAGTGGAGAAGGAGCTTGATCATCTTTTCGTTCTACCTGATAATAATAGTCTGACATATCTTTGGTCTCCGATGCCTAACTCCTAGTTTCTTCCCTTTTGGCAGTATAGATAGGAAAATAACCAATAGAGTGCAATAAAAAATAGATTTTCCTGACTCCTAACCGCCCGCTGCGTAGGGCACATCGGCCTGGTTGACGTGCTGCTATTAGAAAAAAGTCGAAGGCCTCTGTCACGCAGCTCACATTTGGTTTTGATATGCAGCATAAATGTGTTTTCGTGCCTGCAGGACTGTTTCATCGGTGCTTGGCAAATGTCACGCACGGAGAGGAAACAGAAAAAAAGCATTGCCTGGTTGCATAAAGGCTATTTTATTTATATAAATTGTTAGATAATCCAGCCCAGCTCCGGGCGGTCTGCGATACAAGGGCAGCCATTCACTCTGTCAACCTCCTGACCAGTGATGAGACACACGTGTTTGAAAGATTTGCCCCACCTCAAGATTTGTGTTTTAAAAATGGCAAAATGTTTAATGTAATGTACTGCATGCAAAACTCATGACTTTCCCTTCGGCCTCGCCTGTACTCCCTGTTTAGTGCTGACTTGCAAATGTTACAAAATGTCTAATGTTGCCGCCAAGATGATGAACATGCTACATGTTATACAGCATGATTGCATTATCACTGAGCATGTTAACAATGTTTTAGCTCCAAGCATCACTGTGCAGCCTCGCGGAGCTGATAGCATGTGGTGAGAATCGAATCCACACCGGAGCAATGTGGATTCTGCATGATCTAGAAGAAGAGGAAACTCCAGCACATAGAAGCGCTGCTTTGTGCCATCGTGACCCCACCAGCTGGTCTGTGTTAGCACACATCACCCCCCCACCTGACGGAGGCACGACAACGTCCGGTGTCGGCCGGCCGCTAGCGGTGGCAGGATGTGTACGCATCATACGAGAAGTGATGCCCCAACCATCCACAACCAGGCTTTTAATTGCATATTTTTGTTTTATTTGTGTAGCTTTATGCCAGTATATTGAGGCTACTAAATTCAAAGATGGGGCCAGAGGAAATTTGGCGGGGACAGATGAAGGTAACCCTCCCACCACACACACTCCTCCCCCTCTCAACCCGAGCTCAGCTTCAACCCTTCAACCTTTAACTTGGCACACCTTGGTTTTTTTTTTTTTTTTGTATCACTTATTCCTTTTTTCCTTCCTTTTTTGTTACTTTAAAGTGAGTGAGTTTCGCAGTGATCTTTCTGCACAGGTCTGGGGAAATCCTTTTTTTCATTTGCGCTCCTCTGATTTTTCCCGCCCCCTCCTCTCTGCTCCCTCCTCCTTCACACCCTTCAGCAGCAGCAGCTGAACAATGAGCTGATGTTTGACGATCACTGCTTCTGTTTCTCTCACACACACACAAATCCAGTGCCGCCTGCGCTGGCATTGCTTGGCCGGTGTTCACGCTCTCCCTGTATTCCGAATGACTTTTCAGTACTGCGCTGGTGTGTGCATCCCTTCTGCTTTATCCCGGGTTCAAATCAACTCTTGCTTTCTATTCTATTGATTATTTTTGTGTTTCTTTGTATTACCATTAAAGCTGTCTGGACGCATTAAGATCTATGAAGTAAAACAGAGTGAAAGATGCTTCTTTATTGAATATTTTATTTTCTTTGCTCTCGAACGGGGTGCTGATGACAGCTTTATATGGTGCAATACAGCAATCCTCTCAAGACAAATATGCTGACTGGCTCTTTCTCTGGAGTTGCGCCTGGCACTTTTAACCTGCTTCTATTCGATTGTTCTTCTGTTCCTCCATCACGATTCTCAGACCAACTGTTTTTCTCCTTTTTTTTTGTTGCTCTCTTTCTCTCTCTTCCTGTTTTGTTTCACTTTCAGGTGAGAATTTTGAGCAGAGTCCATTGCGGAGAACCTTCAAATCCAAAGTCCTAGCACATTATCCAGACAATGTCGAGTGGAATCCATTTGACCAGGATGCAGTTGGCATGGTATGATCGCTGCACAGATATATCAATATCCCAGTAATAATACGCTTTCATTTTGTAGTTGGTGAAAATGCTTTCTTACGCATGGGGTTATTTTAAGGAGAGTGGTGTCGATCTTCTCAACCGACAAGAAAATAAACCCAACTGCCAAAAATGTTTTGCATTTACCTTTTAAGTTAGACAATTAAATGATGTAATCTGTACTGATTTTCCTCCACCCCCTGATGCCTTTTCCTCCCCGTCCTGGCACACAGCTCTGCATGCCCAAGGGTCTGGCGTTCAGGACGCAGGTCGATCCCCGCGAGCCCCAGTTCCACTCCTTCATCATCACCAGGGAGGACGGCTCGCGGACGTACGGCTTCGCCCTCACCTTCTTCGAGGAGGTGACCAGCAAGCAGATCTGCAGCGCCATGCAGACTCTCTACCACATGCACAACGCGGAGCAGTACGACATCTTGCACACTCCCACCTCCCCGCCGGCGCCGGAGCACCATCGACACCAACACGCCGCGCCGCGCCACGTGCTCCACGCCGCGCCCGCCATCTCGCGCCTGCAGCGCTTCAACTCGTACGACATCAGCCGCGACACGCTCTACGTGTCGAAGTGCATCTGCCTGATAACGCCCATGGCCTTCCCCTCAGGCCTGTAGGAAGGTGCTGCAGCAGCTCCACCAGGCCGTGTCGTCCCCCCCAGCCTCCGCCCCCTGCCGCTGGAGAGCTTCATCTACAACATCCCTCTACGAGGGTGCCCCTGCCGCCCCTCGGGGGCGGTCGCTCAAAGTTCTCCCGGCGTGTACGGGCCCGTGGTGTGCCAGAGGCCCAGCACGTCGGAGCTGCCGCTCTTTGACTTTGCCATCGGGGAAATGTTTCACCTGCTGGGGGTGGAGAACGTCCTCCAGCTGTTCACCTGCGCCCTGCTGGAGTTGCAGATACTGCTCTACTCGCAGCGTAAGTAGTTCTCCTGCTACTGTTACTCTCAGCCTGTAGCGGCCTGTCCCATCGGGGTGCATTGGGTGTAAGGACATTGCATCTGGCTTACACAACAGTGATGCTTGGAAAACAATTTCCTGGGCTACCGTGACATTCTGTGTAGTTTGGACACGAGCTGCAGGCAAGGAGATAAGTGAGCGTTGTTTGTAGCAGCTGTTTTTGGAGAAGTGAGAGGAGATCCTTACAGTGGAGGCTGTCTCAAGAGATGTGTTAGCAGCTGAGAGACATATTAGTGTCATGACATGAGACTAGTATGAGACATGAGACTCCCTGTTAATATACTTTGGACCGATGTGAGGAGGCTTGAAATACTATTCGAGCAAAGATTTTATTACATAATAGATGCAAGAGGAGTTAAAAAAGCTCCCCCCACTAACTTGAAAAATAGTCTGTATGTTTGTAATAAAGGAACTATCTTTGTGTATATTTGTGATACAGGAAGTAGAAGCCCGGCCCTGAGGCTAGAACACGTGTTTGATAAGCACGGCATTGCTATTATCCAAGCAGTTACATAACCTGTTGAGTGGTTCCATGAAAGTGATGCAGTGCGAGGACCAGCCTGTGTAAATGTCGGCCCCCATCACAGGCGGCTCAGTCTCCCTCCCATCTCAATCTGTGTGTCTGTGTGTGTGTGAGGTTCATCTTTTGAGGACATTTTTACCGCTTGGCTGTGCAGGCCTTTTTTGGCGATTCTTCTGCGATGTATAATATTTGATCAAATTCTAACGTCCTGAAATGCAGCCAGCTGATTCCTGTTTGTATTTATTCATTAGTGTGTGTGTGTGTATGTGTTTCTGGGGAGAGAGAAACAAGGAAATCATTCAGGGATGCAGAGTCTGGTGAGGTGATTGGATCCATTACAATCGCAAGAGAAGGCAAATGGTTTACAAAGCGCTAGGGGCCGGGGGTAGAGAAGCTCTTAAGGGGGGGGGGGGGGAAGCTGTGGTGTTGCTAGGCAACCCTGAGACTGGGAGGATGGCAATGATGCAGGATGATTATTATTGGTTAGAAGTGACATCATTCCTCTTTTTTTCCCCCATGAGGCTGATCACTGCAGAATGTGTGGAGGGGTGTTGTGTAGAGTGAAGCCCTGGCAATCTTCCACTGGGAAGATACCACGGCTTGTTTGAAAAAAGACTGCGTCTTTAAACACACACAGAGGAGAGGGATGCTCTGCAAATAAGCAGACAACTGTGTGTGTGTTTTTGAAGGCTAAAACAGCAATTCTTATTCCTGGTATGAGGTGAATGAAAAAGGCCAGTATTTCTTCTGTGTAGCTGTAACGGCAAAGCTGCTTTTCCCTTCTCAAACAGGAATCACGTGTAGAAACTACGATTAAGTCACTATTTGTTGTTGTTATTTCACTGTCTTCAGGTGATTTGTGCAGTCAAGACGGACATGATAGATGAAGGGAGAGTGAGGTCTCGGCGGTTACACAAAGACACAGAGGTGCTTCATTTGAAAAGCACAAATCAAGAGCCAGATATCCGTCAGTGCGTTTGGTCCTTCAGCCAGGCACAGACGATCAAACCGTCCCTGTTTTGTATGTGTGGTGTGTCTCTTCAAAAAGACGCACCACACATTAGATGTAAAAGGCTGTTTGAGTAAAATAAGATCCGCAAGTTTCACTTCTGTGTGTTTGGTGTATTTATAGTGGCAGTTTTTAGCACTCGGTACGTAAAACTTGACAGTTCAAGCAACACCAAGCCTAAACTGCCAGCGGTTTTCACTATGAACATTTACACAATGTCCCTCTCATCTGTGTTGAGGAGCAGCAGCACGTGACCCTCAGTGACCGTAGCTTAAGTGGATTCTTGTTACACAAGTCTCGTCTAAGAGCAGATGGGTGATGTTAGTATTCTGGTCCCCATCCTGGGAGAGGAAGCCTACTGAGAAAAGGGGGGAAGAGGGGGGAGAGTCTCTTCCCACGGACCAGCACATGTCCAAATGAAGGAATACTATTCATTTTGGCTCCATAACAGGAGAAGGAGAGCTGCGGCCGAATGTGTTCCTAGAAGTGTCAACGGGATAGAGCGGGAAAGCCGATGAGGACGGCTGGAAAAATATTTGACTATACACCCACCCTGAGCACGAAGGTGTGCTGCTGTGTGATGTCATCACACAGGATTTAGCATTAGTTCTTTATCATAGGACGGGCCGTACTGGACATCCTTGGTCTGAAAATGACTCCCTAAATTTGCACACAGCTTGTCGCATATAAATATACTAGTAGGGTTGGGTGTTTCCCTTTGTCGTGTCATCTTAGTCCACCTTGCCGCCACACTTTGCTCTTTCTACTCAATCCTGATTTAGACACAGAAACGTTGAGTCAGGAAGGGCTTTGCATATGCGGATGCAGCAGGGATTTCTGTCAGCAACCAGGAGAGCAGAGGCATAATGTAATCCTATGCAGATAACGTGTTGCACACCTCCTCTGCCATGTGTGTTTACTGGGCATAAAATACCAGGCAAAGGCAGCGTGGCCCACGGCTTTTAGGGGAATAAGTCGTGGCAAAAGTTGTGCAACCAATGTGTATGTACCGCTGGAGCACTTCACTTACACTTCTCTTTTTGTCCAACGTGTGAATGAAACAGATTACCAGAGGCTGATGACGGTGGCAGAGAGCATCACAGCCTTAATGTTCCCCTATCAGTGGCAGCATGTGTACGTTCCCATTCTGCCCGCCTCCCTCCTCCACTTCCTGGACGCCCCCGTGCCGTATCTCATGGGCCTCCACTCCAACGGCCAGGACGACCGCACCAAGCTGGAGCTGCCGCAGGAGGTAAAACACACCACGGGGCCTTCGTTTGCCTCATTTTTGTATCCTAGTATAGTACTTCCCTGTGGAAATGTACTGTTTATTTTCTTATCTTATTTTACCCTACTACAAAAAACACTCTTCATCTCAATCTGTGTTTTTATTCAGAAGGAGCAGTTTAATAGATGGTATTCTGCATAGAAGGCCTTTTGTTGTGCTGCAGACATCAGCCGTGGTGGACAGTTTTCCCTACAGTCATTTAAACACAGTCATCCGTTTGGAAAAGGTGTCTTTTGCTTCACATTTCACACCGAGACAGACGTGCTGCGGAGGTGTAACCTGCTGTCAAACATGTTGGATGGATCTAAAGGCATATAAAGATCGACTTTGTTGGATTTGTTAGCATTAGCTCAGTAGGACTCACCGGCTCAGTGACACCAACAATGTTACACCTTTATATCGTCTCTTTCCAGGCTAACTTGTGTTTCGTGGACATTGACAACCACTTCATCGAACTGCCGGAGGAGTTGCCCCAGTTTCCCAACAAGCTGGAGTTCATTCAGGAGATCTCGGAGGTACTCCTGTCCTTTGGCTTGTCTCCAGAGGGAAGTATCCACTCCGGTGTGAGCCAGGCCAAGTACCGCGGGTTCCGATCTGTTGACATGGTCTCCGACAAGCGCAACGGCAACCTGGCCTCGCCACTCAACTCCTACCTGCTGAGGGAGAACGAAACCATCGCCCGACTGCAGGCTCTGGTCAAGAGGACTGGTGTCAGCCTGGAGAAGGTGAGACAGGATGCCATCTCATTAATAACACAATAACATAATAAGACCCCCTTGTGCCGTGAACTCAATTCTTCTTAAATAATCAGCGTAAAAGCAGCCATACGATGGTAGTTTTGAAATCTTCTTGTATTCAGGAGATACATTTTCTGATGGAATTTATTTTCTCCCATTAATTTGCAGCTAAATCTTACCAGCTGATGTTTGTAGCAATTACATGATAATTAACTGAAAAGATCCCTTTTTTGTCGACTGATATTATGTTTTTCATAAAATAATATGTTTTTAAAAACAAAAGACAGAAATATTAAGGTGTTTTAGTTGTTAATGATACTTGTCACAAATGAGAAATGATGGCGGTAATATGTATTCTGACGTGTTTTATATTATAGCATTGTTCAGTAGCCGTCCTCCCATCAGTGCTGTAAGCATCATGTTAATAGAAAAGGTAGCGAACACAGAGAAGTCTGGAATTATTTTTGCTGTCCATTTTGCTGCCTAATCAGCTTACGCACCAATGACCAGCATTGTTTTAGAATTAGCTCATCGTGCGTGAGCTGTTTCCATCCTCAACCATGAGGTCCGACCTCCCTATAAGTAGTCTTATCTAAACCCATTGCTGAATTAAAGAGAAAAAAGCAGTGACCAAATAGCTTCTTGGGTCACGTCGCTGGATTTTGTTTCACGGTTACACGCAGTGGTACTGCTCGTTGTTATTGTAGCCCCCCCGTCCCAGTGCTGGCATCTGTCCAGCTGACCCACCGAATCAAAACAGAGGACTTCCTTTCCCATAACCCTGCTGCTTCATCGGCAGCTTCGGATAACAGTAGAACAAGATATACATGAAAAACAGAGTTCTGCTTCTTCTTCTAAGTTGATATCTTTCTCACACACGTCTTCTTGTTTGTGATCCTTTCTTCGCTGCACATCAGGTGGAGGCGAGAGAGGACGCCAGCAGCAACAAGGAGCTGCGGGTTCAGTGTGACGAGGAAGAGCTGAAGATGCACAAGATCAACATCCATCTGCGCGAGGTCTTCGCCAACCGGTTCACCCAGATGTTTTCAGACTACGAGGTGTTCGTGATCCAGCCGAGTCAGGACAAAGAGTCCTGGTTCACCAATCGAGACCAGATGCAGAACTTTGACAAGGTCAAACGGGCTCCGTGCAGTTTCGTAATAGCATAGTGTAGTGAAGGGTGTTATTTTCCCACGGTTTCTGACATTAAGTTCCCCTCTTTTTTTTAAATTGACGTGTCCAGGCCTCCTTCCTGTCTGACCAGCCGGAGCCCTACCTGCCCTTCCTGTCCCGCTTCTTGGAGACGCAGATGTTTGCCTCCTTCATCGACAGTAAGATCCTCTGTCACGACGATGAGGAGAAGGAGCACACGCTGAGGGTGTTTGACTACCGCGTGGATAAGATTCGCATGCTGAACGTCCGCACGCCCACGCTGCGCACCTCCATGTACCAGAAATGCACCAACATCGAGGAAGCGGGTAAGGAGGGAGTTCAGCTCTGTGGATTACAGAGGAATAAGAATCGAAAGCCTCAACACGTCTCAAGAAATCTCTGTGTTATTGGTTGGCACCGATAAAGCTACAGGTCCTAATTTGAAAGTGAATATTTTTCACCGTAGTATCATAACATCAGAAATAAGGAGCCTCTGTAATGTTTGATTACTTACTTGTTTAAAACCAAGACGGTTCCAATCTAATGCTTTGTCTTTGTAATTTGACCGTGTGAACTTCTGTCAGGTGATTTGCTCTATTTGGTAAACTGACGGGATCATGATTACATAGTTATGAAAAATCTGTTTCTGCCGCTCCTGGACCTCGTAAAATTCAGAAAGCACATGTTTTACACTAGTTTGGATGTGCGAAAAGTATTTTAATTACGTATCACTCCAAATTTATAAACCCTCCTTCAGATCCTTAATGCACTTCAGACATGTCAGTTTCTGAAAAGCCCGGAGAACATTATGTTGTTAAGAATGAAAGACTTTCTATCTGTAAATATAACTTTGGGGTCAAATTGTGGGTTTCGTACATTTTGGTGCTGCGTATTTCCCTTTTGTGCGTGTGTTTTCTACATTGTTTAGTTTATATAATTAGGCTCTGTTGTTCTTCGCTAAACTAATGGGTGCTTTTGTTAACATGACTCGTGTGTGGGTGGGTTGTTAATCAGACATCAGAAAATCACTGTCTAAAGCTGAATACATGAGTGTCTGAAGAAAAAGACTTATTCTTCTTTGGCTTCTGTGGGTGTTTGGGAGGAAATATATTTTTCTATTTCAAATTGTTCTCTTTCTTCTGTTGTCAGTCGTTTGCTAAAAGGACATTTTAAATTGTCCTTCTTCACACAAGGAGCTGCAGAAAATATGATAATCTTATTTGAATGATTGGTAAGAAGGTGAAAAAGAATAATTACTTTGTTTCTGACTATGGGACATTGTGGTTATTTGGTTTCCTGATAATTACCCTTAAATGGCTCCCTCATCAATCCCAAAGAATTTATTCTTTGCGTAGAACTAGACTGGAATAGAACTGGAATTAATTACCAGACCATTGTAACTTGTCAATTTTCATATTTAAGACATGCTGGTGTCCTAAGGACTCTTAGTCACTTGCGTCTTGAAAATGACAGCCCGTTGATCAGGCTAAAGGCGATTATGATGCATCCATTAATCACACCTCCTCCGCAGAGAGAGCCATCGAGATGAGAGTCATGAAGATTGACCACACCGCCCTGCACCCGCACCTGCTGGACATGAAGATCGGTCAGGGACGCTACGAGCAGGGCTTCTTCCCCCGCCTTCAGTCTGATGTGCTCTCCACTGGGCCCACCAGCAACAAGTCAGCATTTCACTTTGCCGTCCCATCAAACAAACAAAAAAGGATGTTCCTTGAACGTGTTAAATCCGAGTTCGACGGCTCTTTTGTGTCACAGATGGACCAAGAGGAGTGCTCCCGCCCAGTGGAGGAGGAGGGATCGACAGAAGCAGCACGCGGAGCACCTTTACCTAGACAACGACCAGAGGGAGGTGAGGGGCTCCCCGCCGCGGCGCCTTCACCCCACTCATACTCATACGGATTAACCGCCTGTTTTTATTCATTTTGCATGACCCGTTGGATTTATTTTGACTCTGCTCTCACCATCTCGTCTGCTCTCCCACCCCCCTCCTCACACTTCTGTTCACCTTCTCCTTTCTCTGCCTCTCTCTGGCACTCACGCTCACATTACTCTCAGCATGTAGAGTGTTTGCTTCCCGAGCGGCAGCTCCTGCTGTTTCTTGACTACTACTGGCTCTCACAGTCCTTCCAGCCATGTCTAAAGTCGGTTACAGTGGATGTGGTATGTGTTGGTTGTTTGTGGGGCCCTTAGCTTTCAGACTGGGGCCACGCAAATCTTGTCCACCCATGTGATTGTTACATCCCTCTGCTTCCTTTACCACCACCAGCTGAGCTAAATCTGTAGATCCATGTTATTAACCAATGGTGGCAACTAAATTAGAACGTACAGTATGTTTTAGACTTTTGTTTCCAGATAATTTGCATGTTTTATTTCAGACCTGAATAGTTTTGTTGTAATCGACTGGACATATAGACTTTAGTGATTCTAGTAACCCTGGTTCCTCTGTAGAAACTGTCCCCAGTGTTGTGAGTCCACCAGTAAGCATTGATTTCTGTATATCTCTTGTTTCCTTTTGTGGTTAGAGTACTCATCTCTCTCTGTCTTTTACCAGAAGTACATCCAGGAAGCCAGGAACCTGGGCACAACCATCAGACAGCCCAAGTTGTCAAACCTGTCGCCTTCTGTCATCGCTCACACTAACTGGAAATTTGTTGAAGGACTGCTGAAGGAGTGCAGGAACAAGGTTTGTGTATGACTGAGCGTGCTGTGGTTAGGGAATTAGTTGGCTCTTTACGCTGTGGCATTTGCTGCATTACTTCAGGTGAAAAAAGCTTCAGCACATTGTAGGCTACACATTTAAGATTTGTTACACTAATCAATCCAGAATGACTACGACAGTGATGAAGTTAGCGGAGAATTTCAGCGTTTTATCATTTCTGTATTTAACAACGCAGTAAAAAACGACGGATTAACTTTAGATATTTTCCTACTGCACAAAAAATAAATATTAGGATTTGTCTAAAGTTGGCATTGAAAAATCCAATATTATGAGGTAGATATCGTTGTAACAACAGTGCGTGTGTCTCTCCCTGCAGACCAAGCGTATGCTGGTGGAGAAGATGGGTCGGGAGGCCGTGGAGTTGGGCCACGGAGAGGTCAGCATCACCGGTGTTGAAGAGAACACTCTTATTGCGAGCCTCTGTGACCTCCTGGAGAGGATCTGGAGCCACGGGCTGCAGGTCAAACAGGTCAGGAACACCAACAACCCATTTCTCATTATTGATCCTCCACAGCTGCGGGACATACAGTGGTTTCTCTGTGCAAGTAATGACGCTAATGAATCTTTTTAGGGTAAATCTGCCTTGTGGTCCCACCTGCTGCATTATCAGGAGAGCAAAGAGAAGAAAAATGCAACTCCAGGTTGTTTGGGACCTCCAGGTAAAGGCTGAAATCCCAGAACAAACTAATTGAATTAATAGATAAGTGACTCCTATTGAACATCCTTTTTTTTAACACACCAGGTTTCATTCATGACACAGAAAGACGCAAATCTGATGGTGGTGGAGCAGCAATGCCACCTCTTAAAGTCTCCCTGACACAGGACATGAGGTGAGGACTGCGCGTTATTTGGGTTATTTGGATGATCGCTAATGAGTTAAATGATGAAATCAGGCGAGACTCTATTGGCCTAAGACTGCCCCCCTGTGGTTCAGTGTCAAAGAACAACCTAATGGACTTTTCTATGTTGGAGGGAAAGTGGAGTCTATGCATCCGGGGACGGGTTATCCCAATGAAATAATGTATAAAACTGGTGTTTTTAAACTGGTTTTATCAAGGGTTGCATTCAGTTATTCGACACAAACAAGAGACAATTCCACAGCAATCTCTCGTGGACCAAAATACTTTTTTTTTTTAATTCAGTTACAAAACCTGATGGAGACTTCATGTTCCAGATAAACGAGGGTTTCTTCATAGCGCTGCTTTAAACAATCAAAAGTTTCATTTCTTACGGGTTAAATTCCCTCTTTTGTACCTGAGAGATCAATTAATATATTAAAATTAACTTTTCTAACATTATTTGCAACTACCATTCAAGGTTGCTCATATTCCAGAAACGCATAAATTAAAACAGGATAGGACATACTATATGTACCATATTAATATGACATGATCACACAAATATCTGGATTGCTTAATAAAATAATGAAGTAATTCAGCTAAAATTTCTGCCTCAGCTGAAATATTTTTTCACTGATTCAGACAAAAATGATGGACTAGATTTTTGATAATGATATTTATTCTTTTTTTCCTGTCCATTCTAGTGGAAATGTTACAAAAAACCCGTTGGTCCCCTTTTCCCTTTCGTGTATTATTCTGGCCCCTTTAATCTGTATGAGTTGTGAGAGAAGGGAAGTAGAAAGAGAGAGAGGATGCATTCTTAAACACCTGTGTGTGTTTGCGTGCGTGTCGTACCCAGTTGAGGGGTCGGGGCGTGTGAGGCCGCGAGGAGGCGCAGACAGGGTCTGTAACAGCACGTTACTTCCAGCCTAATTACCAGACCCCCGCCAGACTGACTGAGAAATAGAAGAGGGGTCAGCTCAGGGCACAAACCTTCCTGTCTACTCGGGGAAGACCGACACAGAAGCAACTGTCTTTAGAGGCGATACAATTTGTACTCAATACTGAAAATATTGAGTTAATATTACCGTTGCTCACCTGCTTTGCACTGTTCTCTCCACGCAAAGCCTAATAACAGCAGTGCATATAGTAAGTGTTTTCCTCTGTTGCCATGGAGATGACGAGCAGAGAGCAAAGTGGGTTACTCGTGTGAGGGTGGAGACGGAGGGGGGTGGAGGGAAGAGGAGGAGACATTGAAGAAGCCTTTGGCACAGGTGGAGTGGAAGGGAATGTGTCTGGACATCAGAGGCTCGACTGGGACAATGTCTGTGCTGTAAATGCCTCTCCGGAGGAGGATACACTGTGTGTCCACAATATATATCTACAGTTTAGGGATACCATTTGTTGTGCCAAAATTATTTATCAATGTATTGGTTCATTATTTGTCATTTATCAATCAAAAGTAAGAAAGAAAAGCTGCAAAAGTGGTTGCAGCTTTTCAAATGTGAGGATTTATGGCGTTTCTCTGTTATGGCAAAGGTTTATGTTATTTGGCTTTTTATTTTTTGACTGTTTGATCAAAGCAAGCAATATTATAACTTTTCACTATTTTATAGGCTTTTTATCAATCAAATGATTTTTTTTAGACGGGGCCAATGAACATTTGCCTGTCATCAGTTTAGAGCACAGAATTGTGCATTATAATATACACTGAAAAAACAACCTCAAAAGACATTTATTGGCTCATTGTTTTGAGTATTATTGTTTTACGGTAAAACCGATGTAATGGATACAAGATGTATCCTAGTGTCATTTTCACATGACAAAAAATGATCTTTGCTTTGTTTGTTTGTGTATATATATATCCTTTGTTTTTTTTGTCCGACTCCTTGAACCGTTGTTTTCTTCGCAGACACATTCAGAACATCAGTGAGATAAAGACAGATGTGGGCAAAGCCAGAGCCTGGGTTCGCCTCTCTATGGAGAAGAAGCTGCTCTCCAGACACCTGAAGCAGCTGCTTTCAGATCACGAGCTGACCAAGTGAGCAAAACCAACTCTCCCCTAAGTTATTCACAACCAGTCTTAATATAAAACATTTTTAAGATCCCCACATATCTTTTCCCACCTCTTATATGTTGTTGTCATTTTTTCTCCATTTGTGGAGTAATGTCTGCCTCGCATGAAATGAAGATGTCGTGTGATCTACCCATTTATAATACATTAACTCTTTTGAAACTGCAAATCAAATCCTACTGTCGTCCACCGCCAGCATGAATATTTCACAGCTTTCTTCATAATTCATATCTGACTGGTGAACTGGGTCAGGGGGGGAATTCTGTCTGTCTGACCTTAAATGTCCCTTCAGTTCTACTTTATAACAAGGAGAAATCACCATCTATCATAATGGTGATCATGTTATGGGATGTATTTCTTTTTGTTTAAAAAATGATAAATCCTTTTGTTTTGTTCCCAAGTACTAATATGTATTTTAACACTTTTATCAAAAATCTTCCTTTTTAGAAAACTGTACAAGCGATACGCCTTCCTCCGCTGTGATGATGAGAAGGAGCAGTTTCTCTACCACCTCCTGTCCTTCAATGCCGTGGACTACTTCTGTTTCACCAACGTCTTTACCACCATCAGTGAGTGCTGCCTCGATGCCAAACAACACGGTCAATAAACTGCAGGATTTTCTGATGACATTTTGCTCCTCTCCGTCTCCCAGTGATCCCCTATCACGTAGTGGTGGTGTCCAGTAAGAAGCTGGGGGGCTCCATGTTCACAGCCAACCCTTGGGTGTGTGTTTCTGGCGAGCTGGCAGAGACCGGAGTCCTGCAGGTCCCCAGAAACACTCTGGAGATCACCTTCGAGGTTTGTGATATTTCGTGAGGATTTCTTTTAGTTCCCATTTGTTAATATAACAGTTCACCGTAACTAATATTACGACCATAGAAACACAGCCGTGTTACTTCTATGACATCAAACTAACCCAGAGACAACTGCTTAAACAGCTAATCCAAATCACTGTTTTAGGCTGAAACCGAGCAGACTCTGTCAGTACAATGGGTCAATGCTGATCTTAGACGTTGGTCAGTTACAGACTGTCCCTTTTGTCACTTTTCCTGCGACGAAGTTGTGATCAACCAGAAAAGCCTTTATGAATATGAGCTCCATCGTGTTCGTGCATCAGATTTGTTGTTCGGGTCTTTGATGTCCACGCGCTTGTCTCTCTCTCTTTGTCTCAGTGCCAGAACCTGGGAAAGCTCACCACGGTGCAGATGGGTCACGATAACACGGGGCTCTACGCCAAGTGGCTGGTGGAGTGCGTGGTGGTCCGTAACGAGATCACGGGCCACACTTACAAGTAAGCGTGTCTTCTTTTTTTGAGAGGAATTCCCCCTCCCTGTGACACCGTTCTGACCGCGCCGCGCTCCAAAACCATGAACTGAATGCGTGCGCGCAGGTTTCCGTGTGGCCGGTGGTTGGGGAAGGGCGTGGACGACGGCAGTCTGGAGAGGATCCTGGTGGGGGAGCTGATGACCCCCAGCACAGAGAACGATGAAAGGATGTGCCGCACCCCCCCGATGCAGCAGTCACCCGGGATGATGAGGAGGTTTGTTACCATCTCGCCAAACAGCAGACCAAGTAAGTTACTCGACTTCACAACAATAAAGCCCCTTTCCAACGACCAATAATAGTGGTGTTTTTGGTGTTAAGCTAAGGATTAAGATGTGTATCCAATTTGAGGTTCAGCTCAATCTCGGAAGTATAGGACAACAGTGTTTCTACTTTATTCTTTTTGAATTATTGTTCTAAATACACTCAAATCTCACTGCGTCTGTGTTTTCTCCTTCTCATGCAGAGTTAAACACAGGTCAGATCCAGGAGGGAGTGGGGGAGGCCATCAATGGGATCGTGAAGCACTTCCACAAGCCAGAGAAGGAGGTGAGAGACGGCAGTCTAGACAGGCCCCAACATGCGGCTCTATTATTTATCACAAATGAGGAAAAGCAGCGTTCTGCTCTGCCGCTCCTCGAGCTCCTCAGCAACAGAGGGCTCTGTGGTGTAATTCACTTTGTCAAAGCAGAAGTTGTAGAAGCAGGCGGAGTGTTACTGGCACAACTTCACCTACTTCCAAGGTGGATGGAGAGGGGATTATAGAGCATGTTTACTGTTTCAGCTGGTAGCATCATCGTCATGGTCATCATCAAAAACACATTACAGACAACATTTAGTTGGTTTAAATATTTAGTATGCTTCTACTATTTTGTTTTATGTCGTATAGACGCTAATATAAAGGACCAACATTGATAAGTATTACTTATTAAGGCACACAGGGGCGGTCATCAGGATTCAAAGGCGATGCTTATTGTCTTATGTGTTGATTATAGGTTTTACAAGTCATTCGTTGCATAGGCGACGCACAAAGGATTTTTACAGGGAAATTCCCTACACACTTTCCTCCCCCTCTTTACAGTTCTGACAGAACAATGGAGGGAGTCTGTAATTAACTTGTTTATTTCAATGCATATAACTGGATCTGAGAAGCTGTTAATACCTGTATCTAGAAATATTTTTGTTGTTGTTGTAATTGCTTGATTCTTATAATCAGTTGTAACAGCTTGCCTTTCCTTGTTGTTTTTGCTCTACACAGAGAGGAAGTCTCACCCTCCTCCTTTGTGGGGAGTACGGCCTCGTCTGGGCCCTGGAGCAGGTTTTCCTGCATGGTTTCAAATCCCCGCGACTCTTTAAGAATGTTTTCATCTGGGACTTCTTGGGTAAACACCTAATATCATTACTCCTGTATATTACTTCCGTACTACAGCCAAAATCTAAATGTCAACACTCAATAAGCCCGTCATATTTAATTCATTGTTAACTGATTTATTTATCTCTATATTATCTTTGCTCTAACAGAAAAGTCCCAAGTATATTTTGAAAGTGCAGAGCAGCGGGAGGAGACTCCAGATGAAAACTGGCAAACCCGAGTGCGCCACTTCTGCCGCTTCACGCGCGCCATCAACAACACGTCCAGAAACATCGGCAAGGACGGGAAGTTCCAGATGCTCGTCTGTTTGGGTGCAAGGTAGACCGGCAGCAGTCATCAACCTCCCAATGACACACCTTCAGATTAAATTAACATTTTAGACATTTGTTAGTCCTGAGAGTGAAGCTACTACAACTTGTGTAGGATTTAGTTGATTATAGAACGCTGTTGTGGACTCTGTGCTCAGTATCGGACCTTCATGCTGACCTGCAAAGAGTCAAGTGAAAAGCATCTCTCCTTAAGAAGAGTCAAAGTATCAGATGTTTTATTGGTTTCACCTGGTGCGTGGATGTTTCTGCACATTGACTAAGTAGCAATTTTATCCTTTTTCTTGAAAAGGGGTTTCCATAATCGATTAATTGTTTGTAATTTATCAAGAAAACAAAACGTTGCCACTTTTCTCTGCTAGACATAATAGCTTTTGAGTGCTGGTTGGATAAAAAAAAGCGGTTCAGTATTTAGGGGTAACGCTGTTATCCTTATGCTGTATCTAAATGAGCTTCGGCGGCGAATATGCAGCGTCAGTGGGATGTTTGTTACAAGTGCTTATTTTCGCCCCTGCCAGGCTCAGATTGTTATTATTAGTGTGTGACAACCGCACCCCAACGAAAACCGGGCTGGACTCTTTCCACAATGTTAAAAAACAAAGCACTCTCACTGAACGTCCCCTCTCCCTTATTGGATTGCGGCGCATGAACCGTTGCTGTGTGCCATGCTCTCGGTCGGCACCGGGGCCAATTCCAGAAATCATTGTCCCTATTAGCCGATTAGACTAAACACTCACAAAAACATGGTCCATGTTGAATTTACATAGAAGATGCACTTTCAGCACTGACTCCACGCGTTTCTTCTTCTCTCAGGGACCATTTGCTGCATCACTGGGTCGCTCTGCTCGCAGACTGTCCAATCACCAATCAGATGTATGAAGAGATCGCACTGATGAAGGACCGCTCTTTGGTGAACTCTCTAATAAGAGTGCTACAGACCCTGCAAGAGTTCAACATCACCCTGGAGGCTTCGCTTGTCAAAGGTGTTGGTATCTAAAAACAAACCAACTTCCCACCAGTTGTATCTGACCAGGACGGTTTCTCACAGTTGGGACCACTAAAAAGAATAACGTTACCTTTTATATGGAGGAAAAGACTTGAACAAAGGACATTTTCTGGCTTATTTTAAAGCTACTGTTACATTTGCCATATATTAAGTGCAATGAGCCTTTCAAAATGTGTTGTTATTTTTATCCTCAATGATGATGCCATTAGATGTTAAAAATATGTTTTCTATTATGAACCATCCTTTTCACATTATTGACCATGACTTACTTGTGCTATAATGTTTTATTAAAAGCTAAATGTTTTCGTTTTTTCTTGTGAACTGCTGACAATGGCTATATTTAAGGAAAAGCGAGGATCAAAACTTCCTATATTTTCAGAGAAAAACAGTATTATTTTGTTAAATCAGTCAAGTTGCTTGCTCTGTTGTCAACTCGGGATTCCAATGTCACTACACAGAGCTTGAAGCAAATTATGTAGAAGTATGCTTTATAAGTATGTGTATGACAGGGGGGGGGGTGGGTTCAGAGAATGATTTATATACATCAACATTAAAAGGCTGTCACATTTGAGTCTCTCCCTGTGAAATGTACTGCTGTGCAGATCTTTTAAATGGAATGCCCTAAGTAAAGTATCTGGTCCTTTTTGCACGTTAATAAGACTGTGAGGCTTCACCTTGTGTTCAGTGATGGACGGTGTATTGATTTGGATAAAGGGAAATACCCCACGTCTTTGGCTTGTGTTCCAGATACAAGTCTTCCAAGAGAAAGCCTCGTGTAAATACCTCCATGGCCCTCTCCCCCGTCCTAAATCCCAGCCCTTACACTACAGCCCTCTTCTCTGGTTAAAACGGTGTGATGATGTGTGTCGACTCCTGATGAAGGACGATCTCCTGCTTCCCACGTGGGGAACAAAAAGGACAGCTCTTTCCTGCTCCTGACTTTGCCATGATGGTTTCTTGCTATGCAATATCCACAACGGAAAATTCAACCCCGTACAGACACATGGTGTTACCGGGCCCTATTCTGAACGTTATTGTGCAGAAGATGAGATTTAATATGTGAAGGCATTCTTTTCTGTGCCAACAACTGTCTGGAACGACTGTGTTGTACTCGTCTGTGTACGACCCACACATGAGCATCTTGGGAGATATATATTTTTGTTTTCCAATACCGTTGTACATTTATTAACATAGCTGTGTAATGTAGTGTTTACTAAGTGAGCAGCAGTGTACAGTGTAAAAATATAAAAAGAATAAAGCATATGTAACGCATTAAAGTACATTTAATTGTAATCGTTTTTCATTATTCAATGAATAAGATCTGCTGTATGTGCCTCAGTTGAAATGTGGTTTACAAATACACTTTTTAAATTTGAATATTTGTTTTTTTAGTTTTAACATATAGTTAACTATAAGATGGTCAGTCGAACAAATCAAGCAATTTAAATATGTAAAGTTAGGCTTTGGGAAATTGGGATGATAACAATATGCTGATTAATCAATGATGGGACGTTTATAATTAAAGCCCAAAATCTAATTTAAACAGTTTTGACAATTTTTGCTTGATTTATAAATAGGAAAAGAGGTAAATATCTCATTGTGTTCAAAAACAGCTCCCTTTGTCATATAAACCCTCAGAAAATAAACACAGCATTGATTCTATTGTTAGCGCTGTTCATTTCCCTCCTGAGAAAATGTAAACAAACTTTCGCGCCTTATCAGATAGCGGTCTGTCTTTAAAGCATCAGGCCAGGTGGATTGTGGGAAATCGAGTTTGAAAGAAGGACGCCAACGGCTGTGACGGGACGGAATCTCCCGCTCGTTTGCTACGCCCCCCGTCATTCATGTCTTTTGAAGTGTACGCAAGGAAAGCAGCGATTGGTTGAATCCCCGTTCAAACTCAACGGCCGCACTCCTTATATGGTCATTGTACGGGCAGCCCTTTCATTCCAGCTTTTTATGCTAATGATATTCTAATCGACAGCTGTATGCAGCAGTAGTAAGAGCATGCGCAGTGGGGGGAAAGAATACGGCGAAGATTCAAAGTTTTTGTTCGGTAAGTGTACTTTTATTTCTCTCGTACTGACATCGCGTATATGGGGTTTGACCGACGTGTTATGTGCGGATAACCCATGGTAATGTTGCGTAGTCGTAATTTGACTTGTGCATTTCCAGTTCTTCCGATCTAAGGGTACAAAGACTAACGTTAACCGACAATGGGATAACGTGGAAGTGAACGAGAGCGTGGCGTGGTAATGGTAGCAACGTCGGCTAGCTAGCATGCTAACAGCTAACAACAATGAGCCGTATTTGGCGCTCTGGCGGGCAAAAGTTGGAATTTAAAGGGAAGAATGGATTCGCCGCCACTTTTTGCGTCTTAAAAAAATCTCGACAAACTACACAAATCGCAGCGATCTGGTCGCTGTGTGTCATTTAGACACGTGTGTTAACTCCATTTCAGCGAATAGCCCGATAGCTTTTTGTTTCTTCACTTCAGTACGTGCCGCTGCCCGCTTTCTGTTTCGAGGCTTCTTGCTGCAAACAAATCTTCTGCCGAGCAAACGTCTTAAAATAAACGGGATTCACTGTCTTCGGGTCCAATGCATTAACCGGTGTCCTGAAAAGGTGCCACTAACCCCGGTGAAACACTGTGTTTTTGGTGGGTGTAACATTTCTGCGACTCGCCAAAGGTGTATCGTGGTGTGGAAGTTGGGAAGCTGCATCACACGCGACTGCGTTGAAACCAACATTACGATCATTTAACGGAACCGCCAGCATCGTGTCCACGGTGTTACTTCACTGTCAGCGTTGTGTGTTTTTGTTGTTCTCGCGACTTGGTTGTACGGTCTTTTTTGTTTAATATGATTTGATGGTGTTTTTAATTAAAAAAATGGCTTGCGGGTGTTTACGTCGTCTGTGCGCGGTACCGTTGTATGAACCGTTTTGCACGATGCGTGACCTTCACATGGGGTTTGTAAACCATACGTGTAGAGATTCCGCTTTATTTATTAAATACGTTTATTTTCGCGCGCGGGGGACCGCCCCCTTTTTGCAGGAGCAGAACGCTCAACAGTCCGCAAGGCACCACAGCTTCTGTCCCCGGGACGGCTTCCGACCTTCTGTTTTACGCTTTCAGATTTTTGCCACAGCACCGACCCACAAAACAGATTATGTTTGGCTTTCACAAGTCAAAGATCTACCGGAGTAACGACGGCTGTTGCATCTGCAAGACCAAGTCCTCCAGTTCACGCTTCACGGACAGCAGCCGATATGAAGAAACATTCGAGCTCTGTTTTGGGTAAAAGCTCTTATATGTGTTTGTTTTGTGTTTTCTATATTTACAAATGAGTGACTCGATGGGAACAATTAAGCGGTGACAATTTGTTCCCCATTTTCAGGCTGTCGGAAGATCGTGTTGGAGACATTTGCAATGCCTGTGTGTTGCTTGTGAAGAGGTGGAAGAAGCTACCTAATGGCTCCAAGAAGAATTGGAACCACGTAAGTAACGTGGTCTTACAGCGTCATGTTTTTTGCGTTTGTTGTGGCTTTTTAAACTGACTGGATGTTGTCCTGGTTGACTCAGGTGGTGGATGCCCGCGCTGGACCAGGCTTCAAGATGACAAAGCCCAAGAAGATGAAGAACAGTGATGGGAAGAAGAAAAGCAAGCTAAAGAAGCTTCATAAATTGAAGAGACAAAGTAAGTTGTTTTGAATATATACTGTTATCCTGCATGTGTTGAGATGTGTCTACTATGGTGAACATTCGCTATATCAATCCTGTGTTTGCCGTCGTGTCGGGCGGTTTTAGCAGCACCTTGTGGCTGCTCTGGTCAGGACTCACGCTGCATCAGGGCTGAAACGGACCGATTGAGGATTGGTTCATTCCTCTTTTTTTGTTTAGCAGATGTGAATTGATTCCAATCCTACTATAATACTATTTCAGGGTATTTCTTTTCCTTTAGCGTTTTAGACGATTAATCGGATAACCAAAGTAGTTTGTGTCTGGTGTTTTTTTTTTTTTTTTTAATTTTTAAAAGATTTGAGTTTCTAATTCTTTTCCAAACTGTTTGTTTGCTTTCATTGTATTTTATTCCACACACTCGTTATTGTCACTCCTGTGAAGAAATCAGTTGTAATGTTAAAAAAAAAAAGTAATTCTTGTATAGTTGGCAGGTTACCAAAAAAGTATATTATATGTATGTATTTATTTTTGTTTTCCAAGCAGACTCCGATGCCCACAGCACAACATCCAGTGTATCTCCAGCGCAGTCGCCCAGTTACAGCAACCAGTCGGACGACGGCTCTGACATCGAGTCCAAGCAAAGACGCCCGACTCCCTCCATCTTCTCTTTCCTGGACCGCTCGTACTGGAAAAGGTCAGCTGCTTCTCCCGTTGGACGGCTTTGAGCTGAGGACAAACGTATAAAGCTGATTTTCTTTGTCTAAATGTTTTGAATAACGCAAAGGGTCTTTCTCCTGCTTCAGGCAGAAGGTGTGCTGTGGCATCGTCTACAAGGGCCGGTTTGGAGAGGTGATTATTGATCCTCGGCTCTTCAAGCCTTGCTGCAGTTCCAAACAACAGAAGACCCTGGTGTCCACGCAAGTGGCCGCGCGCCTCCCGGACACACTGCCTCCACCAGTCGCAGAAGACGTGAAAGAAACCTGGTGATTGCTTTTGTTGAATCCCCTGTAGGGTTATCCATGGCATCCACCTGGATTTGTCTCCAGTGGCAGACCTCCCATTTCCACCCATCCTATTAGCTCAAATAGTTAGATGTTTCTTTTCTTTTGTACTGTTCCTTTTTTATATGGGTGTCTTTTTTTAATCTTTTGTATAGAGTTGATTTTGATTTTTTTATTGAAAGAAAAAAGAAGAAAAAAAATTGCAATGGGCATTAGTGTTATTTATAGGTTGTGGGAGCAAATTTTGTCGTTGCTCCGTTTCTGATTTGATATTGTTTCGGTTATTTTAGTGATCAAAGTTTTGTAAATATTTTGTCACCTTTTTATACATATCAGGATTGTTCTATTTTTTTTCTCCTCCTTTTTTATAGATTGTAAGTGCACATGAGAGACACCAGCTATTCTAATATCAGCCTATTTGTTGCTGTTGGAGTGGCTTTCCAACCAGTTGCAATGTTGTCTAATCTGTTTGTTCCACATGTGCGACTGCATGAGTGTGTAGAAGTTTTAGTACACAAATGGCTGTTGGTTACCCCAGGGATCATTAGAACTACTGTTCTCTATGAACTTATTGTGATTTTAGTGTTTGTATAGATAAAAACACACAGTTTCTGAAATATTTCACAGCAACATTTTTGAAACGCTCCATTTTCTCATTAGTTCGTGCACATTAACTCTTATATATGAGGTCACGCCATGCATGCAGTGCATTCCTCCACCCTTGGCGAAATGGCAAAAGGGATTTATTTCTTTTGTACAGCCTCCAATGAAATGCCATTTTGTAAAGCAAGTGTTTTAAAAGTTAATTTTGTAAATACTGTCAGTGTTTCTGCTCTTAAATCGCCCGTAAATCAAAATCTTTTTTTAAATGACACGAATAGCAAGCCCATATATCTGTAAGAAAATGTTCTTGTGTATCGGAAAGGTGCTGAAAACATGTACTTTTACGCTAAGCTGGTTATCATTTCTGCATCTCATTTTTTCGAACATATTACTGTAAAGGCGAGTTAATCTGTTACCCAGGTTCTGTGGGTATATGTGTAAACTGCAGGGAATGGTTAAGGTTATGGTAGGAAAAGATGATTTTTTTGTTTGTTTTTTGCCCAAAAATAGCTGTTGCAGAAAATGTGTCTGATTGCCATTTCTGTTATTTGTCTTCAGAAGCAATTATCAAAGTTCAAACTATGCAGACATTTTGAATGTGAGAAGTGCTCTGGGGCTGTCTTGTCGCGCACTGTTACAGTGTAAGTGATGGATCCTTGTTCAACCAAATTAGCTTATAAAAAGCCTTCATTATTTCAGCATTCATTTTTCATCTTCCTATTCAAAATTCATCATTGTCTCAAGATATTTCTCTTGAAAAATTTGCTTAAAATAATAACTAGATTGCAGAGTTTAAGCCATCGTGCAGACTTTCTCTCCAATGAATATTGTAATGATTGTTACTTTAGGGTTGATTTTTGCATTATAACCAATCTCAACTTTCAGTAATTGACAGGCAATGATCTGTAAAGTTGCTTAATATATAAACGTTTCTGCGGCAGGGTAGTTAAATGCTGAACATGTTTTATGATTCTTATTAAAAGGAGAAACGCTGCGTCCTTTTAAGCGGGGAAATAAGCTTGTTTTTGTCCTTCGGGATTTGCCATGTTGTTTTTGCGAGGTACATTTGGGGATGTGAGATGTGCCTTATGAATTACCTGACCTTGTCATGATTCTCATGTAATTTATATTTATTTATTGCAAAACCTTTTTTTGAACTGACATTTTGATAACTGGTGTCGAGCCTTTCAGAAATTCCTTTTTTAATTTTGTGCACTTCCTTTGAACATGCAATTTAAATGTTTTTTTTAATATTCCTTTGTAAACTGTACAACAAAGTAGATCTGTATTGTAATAAAAACATAAACGAGAAGTGTGCTTGTATTATCTGCGCGGGCCAGTAGGTGGCGCACGGGAGCTGCAGAGAACACTTTCTTTCTCATCATCGACTCGGGGGGCTCGTGGGGGTTTTTACCAAATGATGTGACTTGATGCAATGTTGACTTTCTACATTTTGACACAATGCATTGACATCGCTTGTCAGTTATTAACAATCCCTGCAGAACAATCGAGACCACCTCTCTGCTTTAATCGGGTCCGATGTGACCCACCGAGACCGGACGGGGCCTGTTCTGTAGCTCGCGCTATTAACGTCAGCGCTTGCGTCGGGGAGGTTTTGATTGGCTTACGAGATTTTGTCACCAGGTTTGGAAGAAGGAATTTAGCACATTTGAACTCACAACTTCAGTTAAGTATTAAGCGTCGTTCTTCGTAGTAAGCGACGTGTTGTCTTTACATTTAGTTTTCATCCGCCGCCGTCGTGTTTGTTAATGGCTAACAGTCGCGTTGCCGAGCAACCGCGTCGTTTGGCCCATAGTTGTCTTCCCGGACTAACCTAACCTTCGCTGACTGACTAGGAGCTAACTTTAGCTAAACCATCCCTCAACGACTCGCGAGAGCCACTCGTGTTTTATTGTGGTACCAAGTGCATTCCGCCTTCTCTCTAACCGACGCAGCCTGACGTGGTTGACTTTGAAACGGACGCCAAAGTCCATGTTTACAAAAGCGGACACTTTAAAAATGACTCAAACGCGTCGCAGTTACCAATTGATACCCGGTCACGGCTTTCAAAATAAAAGCCTATTTAGCGCAGAGAGGTTGTAACGCTTTATGCGAAGTCTCGACATCTCCGCTCTTCCACTGGCTCGTCTCACCGACTTGACACCAGCTCCGCTTCACAAGACCTTTTTTTTTTCTTTCCACCCTCACAACATGCACGCGCTCAGTCCCTCGAACAAACACTCACTTACACACGCACACGCCCGCGCGCACACACACACACGCACTTCCTCACTCCTCTCTCTTCAAAAGCCCCTTGTGAAGCGGATTGACGGGCTAGAATGAAAATGAGGCGGACGCTCGCTCACGGCTTCAGTGCGTACGCGTCCTTTTGAGAAGACCTCTAAACTTGGATCATATCACCATGGGAGCTATTTGGGTCGCGAGGGACTTTTGTTTGTTTTTGCTCTTGTTAAATAGTCGCCAAAGCGCGGCGCTTCCAAATATTCGAGGTGGGACTGTTAGTGAGCGCGTGTGGATGTGATTGTGTGTTGTGTTTGCGTGGAGAGGGCTGCTTTACGCACGCTTTAGTGCTCCCGTGTTGTCTCCACCGTGATTATTTAGAAAAGAAAAGGGAAATTCGTTTATTTTCTAAATGTGAAGCCATGTGCAAATCGGTGTGGCAATGTTTGTGCTCCAGGTACTCATCGGTTTGTAAAATACGCTTTGTAAAGTTTGTTACTTAGTTATTTCTTGAGCTTTTAAATGACCTTCTGTATGCTACTGTTATTATCAGAAAGTTTTTTTTTCTCGACTTTTTTAATATATCGTGAAAGTGCATTTGTGGTAAATGCCATTCTATTTGACTTGTTAGACTATTTGGGTGTGTTTTGGTAACCTATAAGATCCATATGGATTTCAGCAGACCCATGTGAAGAGGGAAGTGATGGCTGTCACATCGATGCTATTTGTCAGACTACCCAAGGCTCATACAAGTGCTCGTGTAAAGCCGGTTATAAAGGAGATGGAAAACACTGTGAAGGTAACGGTTCGATTCACATTCATATATTTTTAATGAGGGTCAAATGCTTTTCAACATCTATTCTGGTATTATCTCTAAATTCCTATAGGGGCATGTGATATCTGTACTTATTTAGTGCTCCAATATCTCTTTAAAATAGACTGTATATCCCTTATTTAACCAAAGTTTAAATAAAATGTTTGATTTAACGTTGATTTACTTGTTCACTTCTCAGACATCGATGAATGTGATTTGGAGTACAATGGCGGCTGTGTACATGAGTGCAACAATATACCAGGCAATTATCGCTGCACTTGTTATGACGGATTCAATTTGGCACATGACGGACATAACTGTCTAGGTAAGATCTCACACCGAAATGACGTGTTCTTTGCAAAAAGAAAAAAATTATGTTCGAAAAGTGATTTGAAAAAAGTTTTATTGTCGTCCTCAATGTTTGTAAGCATTTGACAAAACTGATTTGTGATTATAGCAAATATATCTCCAGAGAGTTGTTAAACACTGTAAACTAACGCATTCAATCCGTTGTCCTGTAGATGTGGATGAATGCAAGTTCAACAATGGAGGGTGCCAACACACTTGTGTTAACACCATGGGCAGCTACGAGTGCCGCTGCAAAGAGGGCTTCTTCCTCAGCGACAACCAGCACACATGCATCCACCGCTCTGTTGGTGAGTGTGTCATTTTGTAGATACTTGTGTCTGCTTGTTGTATTACACCGTAAGAAAAAAACTACAGTGAATTATACGGCAAATAAAATTATTCACATCCAAATCAACAATTTTCGGCACAATGAGGGGAGACAGGTTCAAGCTGGCTCCCGTTACCAAGCTTGTATCTGGAGCAGCAACATGCTGTGGGAAAAGTCTCTGTGTCCCAGAGTACACAATAAGTTAATAACTGCAACACGCAGGTCTGTGTGCTCTGTGTCACAGATTAGTCTGCGCTGCCTTTGTTTTGTCTTCTTGACTGAAGTCAACTTAAATGCAAGCTCTTTCCACTCCATCGGGTCTTGACATCCCCTTTAAATCCTGTGGACTCGTCCACTCAGCTGTGACCCAATTTGTATAAATGGGGATTTAGCTTGAAGCATTATTGCATTTTTTGTAGATAATAGAAGAGTTTGTAAAGCTTCGTTTTAGGGAATTTAGGAAATCAACTTAAAACTTAAAAAAGGCAAATGCATTCATTTTGATGTTTTCAGGATTGTGTAAGGCATGAGAACAATCAGTGTCTTTGAAGATGCCAGACTAATCTCTCAGTATGTGTGCTTTTGTTGTGTAGCGAGTCAGTCACTGTAGGAGAGTTTCATTGTGTACCTCTCTCCCTCTTTCTATCCCAGAGGGCCTCAACTGTATGAATAAGGAGCACGGCTGCACCCACATCTGCAAAGAGACACCCAAAGGGGGTGTGGCCTGCGAGTGTCGTCCAGGGTTCGAGCTGGCCAGGAACCAGAGAGGCTGCATCTGTACGTGCTCAGCCGCATAAAGCTAATTTCACACTACACGCCTACAGTTAGCCTCAAATAGTGCACTGTTAACGTGTATCGTGGTTGCATGTTGTTGACCCTGCAGTAACTTGTAACCATGGCAACGGAGGCTGCCAGCACACGTGCGAGGACACAGAGAACGGCCCCATATGCAGGTGTCACGTCAGGTACAACCTGCAGCCTGACAAGAGGTCGTGTGTAGGTAAGCACACTGTTTGTTGACTCTGTTGTTGCCACTGGGAATGAAAAGAGCATGTAAAAAAATATGTGCTACCCTAATACACATCCATTTTTTAAGTCCCCCTCCCAAAGCATATTTTCATCCTGGGTGCTGTCAGATATTGTATTTTAATCCAACTGACCTGCCAGTATTTCAGTAACGTTGTGGTTTGCAGCAAAACTCAAACAACATTGTAATGAATTCTAACAAGATTTAAAAAGTAATCAAAGATGATTCATTTGTTAGGTTCTTGGGTCTGATAGAACATTTTCCTCATTTTAATTTACAATATAATTATTTTGAATATACCAAAAGGCTAGACTACATCCCTCACTTGAGATTTGGCTTTTAATCAAAACACATGAACTGGAAAACATCTCTCTGTCAGTCAGCCTGTTAGGCAGTGTGCATTTTTATACACATTGGCTTTGAGGATCAGCCGTCAGATATTGGATAGTATCGCTCCCTCCAGAAGCGGTGCGTGTGTGAGGTCCAGGCATATCACTGACATGTCATGAGATTCCCTTCACTGATCTGGTGTGTTATCTGATGCACACCAAGCCACCGCAGGCTGAATATTCCAGGTGCAAACATGCATTACTGAAAGTTGACCAACACAAACACCCAGAGTCTATACAAAAGTTACTGTGTTGGTGTTTCATTTGGGGTAATATATTCATGTAGCGATCGCCAGCCTATTAATGATTGTTTTTTTTCCGGTGTGCCACAGAACGAGATGAAGCCACCACCGAGTCTGCGGAGCACAACGCCACTTTCTTTACTGAGGTGGACAAACGGGTCAAACGAAGGCTGTTAATGGGTAACAGTTACTCTCCTGCATGTAGAGGCACACCGCCTGAAATCTGTAGTTTTCGCTGAGGCCACGTTGAGCGGCCAGGAACCACCCAGCGGCGTTAAACAGGGGAGAGGACTTAGGTCTAGTAAAGCGATGCATTCCTCAGTCTTTTGAGCAAACTGTGAAATGACTCAGAACTCGCTTTCTCTCCTGTGGTAAACCCCCTGAAAAGTATGCATTTGTGACAGAGTGGTACATTTCACGTTTTCCTTCCATTTGGGAAGGGCAGCGTGTGAATCTTTTCTTGTATAGTTAGTATTTATCAGTTGTGTGACTTTGGGTCACTTGAAATGTGTAAAACATAAACATTTTGGCACTTTACCAAGTCCATGGTTAGCATGTGAGCTCTGGGAGCCTTGTTTTCGATTATAAATAAAACAAGTTGATACATTAGCTGTATAAGAACTTTTTTTGAATTGTTTCCATCAGACTTATAAATGTTTAAACCAATATTAGATAACATCTATGTGTATATACATTCAATATTTGTCATGGCTTTAAGTGTTTAAAGCAAGTGTTCAAACCGTAAGTTAACATCTATGGAAGGCACCTTACATTTTTTAATATTAAATGGACTCGTGCAGAAAATCAGGGTTATGGTTTTCTAAGGAGCTAGTATCCGACATCAATGAATAACGCAGTTACTATTATCAGTTATGTTCTCAGGAAGGTCATTCACATACATTCATTGTGTTGCAATTTCAGAA